ATCCCTTTCCTCATATGTTGAGGTTAGGACTCTATCAAATATTCTGTACTCTGCCCTTGGGTTTTTACGTCCAAGATGCATTATCTTGCACTTATCCACATTAAATGTCAGTTGCCACAATTCTGACCATTTTTCTAGTTTACCTAAATAATTTGTCATTTGGCTTATCCCTCCTGGAACATCAACCCTGTTACATATCTTAGTATCATCAGCAAAAAGACATACCTTACCATCAAGACCTTCTGCAATGTCACTAATAAAAATATTAAAGAGAATGGGTCCTAGTACAGATCCTTGAGGTACCCCACTGGTGACAAGTCCAAGCTTTGAATATATTCCATTAACTACAACCCTCTGTTGCCTGTCACTCAGCCACTGCCTTACCCATTCAACAATATTGGAATCCAAACTTAAATATCGCAGTTTATTGATAAGATTGCAATAGTGTCAAAAGCCTTACTGAAATCTAGGTAAGCAATGTCTACTGCACGACCCAGATCTATAATTTTAGTTACCCAATCAAAAAAATCAATAAGATTAGTTTGGCATGATCTCCCTGAAGTAAACCCATGTTGTCTCTGATCTTGAAATCCATGTGTTTTTAGATGTTCATCAATCCTATCCTTTAACATGGTTTCCATCACTTTCCCCACTATTGAAGTAAGGCTTACTGGCCTATACTTGCCCGACTCCTCCCTACTACCTTTCTTGTAAATGGGCACAACATTCGCTAACTTCCAATCTTCTGGGACTACTCCTGTTAACAATGATTGGTTAAATAAATATGTTAATGGTTTTGCTAGTACACCACTTAGCTCTTTTAACAGCTTTGGGTGTATTCCATCAGGTCCCATTGACTTAGTTGTCTTTACTTTTGACAGTGGAAATAGAAACTATTCCTCTGTAAACTCACATATAATAAATTACTCATTTATCCTTTTTCTCAACTGAGGTCCCTTTCCTTCATTTTCATCTGTAAATACAGAACAAAAATATTAATTGAGGCAGTCAGCTAGACCTTTAACCTCTTCTACATACCTTCTTTCTTTTGTTTTTAATCTAACTAATCCTTGTTTTACTTTTCTTTTCTCATTATGTATCTAAAAAATGTTTTATCCCCCTTTTTTACTGACTGTGCTATTTTCTCTTCTGTGTGTGATTTGGAAGCTCTTATAACTTGCTTAGCCTCTTTCTGCCTAATCTTATAGATCATTTTGTCTTCCTCACTCTGGGTTTTTTTATAATTCCTAAATGCTAACTTTTTGTTTTTAACTATTTTGGCCACATCTGCGGAGTACCACAGTGGTTTCTTGAATTTTTTGCTTTTACTGACAAGCCTAATGCAATTTTCTGTTGCCTTCAATAGTGCAACTTTTAAATAATCCCATTTCTCTTGGACTCCATTTAAATTGCTCCAGTCTGATAATGACTCCTCTACCCATATTCTAATTTTAGAAAAGTCTGTTTTTCTAAAGTCTAAAACTTTTGTTTTTGTGTGGTGTGACTCAGTCACTGTTCTTATATTAAACCACACTGACTGATGATCACTGGATCCTAAACTTTCACCTACAGTAATATCTGATACCAAATCTCCATTTGTTAACACTAAATCTAGTATGGCCTCTTTACGAGTTGGCTCCTCAACAACTTGTTTTAGAGACAATCCCAGTAGGGAGTTTAGAATATGTGTGCTCCTGGCACAAGTAGCTAATTTTGTTTTCTAATTTACATCAGGAAGATTAAAGTCACCCATGATGATAACTTCCCCCTTCATTGTCATTTTAGCGATTTCCTCAACTAGTAGATTATCTAACTCTTCAATTTGTCCTGGGGGCATATAAATCACACCTACTCGAGTTACTGTGTGATTACCAAATTCTAACGTAGCCCAAACGGACTCTATGTTTGCCTCACTAACTTTTATTAGGCTTGATTTTATGCTATCCTTCACATACAAGGCCACCCCTCCCCCTTTCTTGCCTTCCCTATCTTTCCTATATAAAGAGTACCCTGGTATTGCTATGTCCCAGTCATTTTTCTCATTACACCATGTCTCAGTAACAGCGACTTAATCTACACTATCAGTTGCCATTATTGCCACAAGTTCATGGATCTTATTCCCTAAACTGCGAGCATTTGTAGGCATGACTCTAAGCTTATAATTTTTTAACACACTTGCTACAGGCACCTTCTGTCCTTGTTTTGGGGGACAATTGGATTGATGTTTTTTCACCCTTTTGCCCCCCCCCCCCTCCTAGTTTAAATACATCCTAGCAAAATCTCTGAACTGCTCACTGAGAACATTTGTTCCCTTTTGAGAAAGATGCAAACCATCTTTTTTTGTACAGCTTATTTCCATTCCAAACAGAGCTACCATGAGAAATAAAGCCAAATCCTTGCTCCCGACACCATTCACCAAGCCACAAATTAAAGTCCCTAATACACATCTGCCTGTCGTTCTAAGTGTTATGCACAGGCAGAACTTCAGAGAATGACAGTGTGGAAGCAACCTGCCGTATATCATTGGCAAAAACACTAAAAACTTCCTTAACCTCTGAAACCTCATTGCAAGCCAAGTCATTTGTCCCTAGATGGACAAGTACATCTAATTCCCCTTCCTGCTTTGCTTGCTTAACAATATTACAGATACGTCTCCTGTCTCTGTGAGCAGTAGCTCCGGGAAGACACCTCACAAGACCACCATTGTCCATCTCCACACCTCTTATAATGGAATTCCCCAACAACAACTGCTTTCTATTAGGCCTCACCATAGTCTCCAAGCCGGTCTCCACAACACCACTAGTCTCAGTGCCTCTCTCCACAACACCACTAGCCTCAGTGCCTCTCTCCACAACACCACTAGCCTCAGTGCCTCTCTCCACAATACCACTAGTCTCAGTGCCTCTCTCCACAACACCACTAGCCTCAGTGCCTCTCTCCACAACACAACTAGCCTCAGTGCCTCTCTCCACAATACCACTAGCCTCAGTGCCTCTCTCCACAACACCACTAGCCTCAGTGCCTCTCTCCACAACACCATTACACTCCGAAAGTGCAGAAAAAGAATTATGAAGAGCAACAGACTGTGCAGAATGCCTTTTATCCACAACTCTAAGTCTACCAGATCCTACAGTAATCCATCTGCCATTCCTAGTATGTCTCTGCGGCAGTGGCTTTGCAGCAGTTCCAGTCTGAATTTGTTCACCAGATAATTTACAAATCTCAGACTTCAAAAATACAATCTCCTGCCGCAAGATAGAGAACTGTCTACAGATTAGACAACAACCAAACCTCCAAAAAGTGGAACGTGAAACAAATGCATAGCAACTATTACACTGAACTAAGTCTGCCATTCCAATGAGGAGAATAATTTAAATCAAACAAATCTTAACTTTGTATTTATCCTCCTGAATACCTCAGATTACCTCCAGTTTCTCTCCAGAATATCTCCAACTACACACTTAGAAACAGCACTTAGAAGTAGCAACCAAGCTATATTAGCCAAGCTAATGACAACAAGCCTTAAATAACTCCTAAAATCACCACCCACTAGGAATGTTTAACACCTGGGTAGGCCTCTGCTTATTTGCAAACAATAGCTAATTTAAACAGCAATCAATAGCAAGTAATCTAATCATATTGAGATCTTAAGTGATGGTAAATGAAGGGAAAAGAATTGTACTTACAATTTTCTGGAGCCTATACTCGGCTCCAGATATGTGCGCCTGGACGGTACAATCCCCGCCTATGGATATGTAGATGGTCCTTGGATGTCCTCAAAAAGGGGGTCTCCAGTGGTGGTAGGGTATATCTCCTTTCCAATGGCAGTAGGCCGGTATTTGAATAATTGGTGATATATAAAAAGGATAAAAACACAAAATAGTGCTCTCTGGAAAATACAAAATAAAATGATTAAAAAAATGGAGGTATACTCACAAGTGCAGAGGAAATAGGATATTGCTCAATATATGTAAGCGTAGGTGGTATGATCCCCACCAAGGATATCACTCCTTGAGTCCTCCAGTGGGGGTGTTGGAGAGAGTAAAAGGAATTATATTATAAAATAAAATAAAATAGGATAAAAGGATAGGCTTGGAGGCTCCAATAGCATAAATGAGCTATCTTTATTGGAGATAAAAAAATAGTAACATAAAACAGCTTTAAAAAACACTAACGCGTTTCTCCTGCAAAGAGGCTTTATCAAACACTTTGATAAAGCCTCTTTGCAGGAGAAACGCGTTAGTGTTTTTTAAAGCTGTTTTATGTTACTATTTTTAATCAAACACTTTGATAAAGCCTCTTTGCAGGAGAAACGCGTTAGTGTTTTTTAAAGCTGTTTTATGTTACTATTTTTTTTTGTTATCTCCAATAAAGATAGCTCATTTATGCTATTGGAGCCTCCAAGCCTATACTTTTATTCTATTTTATTTTATAATATAATTCCTTTTACTCTCTCCAACACCCACACTGGAGGACTCGAGGAGTGATATCCTTGGTGGGGATCATACCACCTACGCCTACATATATTGAGCAATATCTTATTTGCTCTGCACTTGTGAGTATACCTCCATTTTTTCTATCATTTTATTTTGTATTATCCAGTGTAACGGATCACCTGGCACCCCGACTGGGTACCTCCGTTAAAGGATGCTCGTAGCGTTTCCTGAGGACTCCAAGCACTCTGGCAGACACCACAATCACCAAACCGGAGAAGCATATGAGTACTTTTAAGCATATGAATGTTGTATACAGCCGAATAGGAAAAAACATGCGTATAGGTTTACACTCCTAGCAGTCAAACTGGAGCAGCATACAATAAATCCTCCCCCAATAATGAGACGACACTTCACTTTGAGGGTTAAGCAGGAACTGATTTACTGGGGCTAACTGCCTGGCTTTTATGCAGGTCTTCCACCTGGTGGACACTCCCCTAGGGGAACAAATGGGAGACTGGGACACAAAGGGTAAAAGGACAAATCACAGACTTACACATTTCAACCATCCCACAATGCATCACAATCCCTCCTCTCTGCCCTGGAGATAATTGGGAAGTAATCCAATTATCTCCAAAGACAGAGGCAAAACTCCATTAACCACATGGCAGAAAACAAACAGTAAAAGACATAAAATTACCTACAGTTACATTCAGTACATAAAACATATACATTCTACATATCCCCAGATAGCTCAGATCTGAGCGCACATTATTACCGAATGGCGCTCAGATCACATACATACAGTTCAATCACCATGGAGCCAAAGTCCTTCACATAGTCTTTTCGTTACATGAACAGGCTCCATGGCTTAGCTATCTAGGTGATGCTGTTCATCCAGTTAAACTACCGAATGAACAGTCATTCAGTTCCGCTCTCGAATGGGAAGGGAAGGAGGCTGGCGGCTCAGTGGTGTTCGCGCAATTAAGTGTCCGTTTTCAGTTCCATAGTTTAGGCGTTGAACACCGCTGTCCGTTCGGGAGGTAAAATGGCCGCTGCCACGTGTTTGGCAACCGAACAAAGGCCTTCCAGAGTTCATCAATTAAGCTGGGGTTAACTGCAGCTTCTGGTCGGTCAATTGACGGCACACTCCAGTTCCCAGGTGGTCCATCGTTCGGTAGTTTGTTCGATAGATTGAATCTACCGAACACCCTGGCAGAAAGGCATGAATAAACCTTTCAGCAGGGAAAATAACAGGTCTGAACTGCAGGGCCATAGTCTAAAGGGAGCAGGCGAGCAACCAGGCTTCTCCAGTGTACAGTGGCGAGGTTGGTTTCGCCACATCCAGCGAGCACTATTTTGTGTTTTTATCCTTTTTATATATCACCAATTATTTGAATACCGGCCTACTGCCATTGGAAAGGAGATATACCCTACCACCACTGGAGAGGACATCCAAGGACCATCTACATATCCATAGGCGGGGATTGTACCATCCAGGCGCACATATCTGGAGCTGAGTATAGGCTCCAGAAAATTGTAAGTGCAATTCCTTTCCCTTCATTTACCATCACTTAAGATCTCAATATACTACACTATATCTGTGTCTTTTTCCTTCCCTCCTCCATATCGCTCTGAGTGTGGGAATTCCTTCACAGGCGCTGCTCCACGATCCGACTACCTACATCCATCGTACCACCAGAAAAGAATAGACTCTGGTTTGAGGGAAATTTCAGCAGCTACATACTACAATTGCAAGTACTGATATTCCACCTACCCCTCCATATGTGAATGTGTGTATGTGACTGTGTATGACTGCATGTGACTGTGTGTATGTGACTTTATGTGAATGTGTGTGTATGTGGCTGTGAGTGACTATGTATGACTGTGTGTGACTGTGTGACTGTGAGTGTAGGACTTTATTTGACAGTGTATGTGTGACTGTGTGTCTTGGCTTGCATGCGACTGTCATGTTGTTGCTTGAAATTCTAGATAGCAAGTTTTGTGTTTTTTTTTATTCCTTGCATACTGCATAACCCACCTAGAGTGTAATCAATAGACAGAACCATCTTTAAAGGGACACTATAGTCACCAGAACCACTACAGCTTATTGTAGTGGTTCTGGTGTCTAAAGCATGCTCCTGCAGTCTTATCACTGTAAAAACTGTCTTTTTAGAGAAAATGCAGGGTTTACGTTGCTGCCTAGGAACACCTATGATGACAGTCACTCAGATGGCCACTAGAGGTGCTTCCTAGTTTAGTGATCCACAGTGTGCAGCACTGTCATTCAGCATCTTCACGCTCTGCATGGAGATGCTAAACATTACCCATAGAGATGATTTGAATAAATGCATCTCTATGAGGAGATGCTGAATGGCATGCACAATAGCCTCCCCGATGCTTTCCTGTGGGAAAGGATTGGATTGCCTGAGAGCACGAAGATTGATGATCTCAGCCATGGAAGAGGGCCAGCCACAGCATGACCAGTGCGGCGATGGGGAAAAAATAAATAAACTATCTTTAATCTCCACGGAGAGGGAGGATCTAATGAGGTATCTCAGCACTATAATGTCAGCAATACATGTTTGTATTCCTGACACTATAGTGTGACTTTAAAGCATGCAATCCCTTTAAAGTATAGGAGTATCTATAGCGAGTACCTGCCTGACATTTCGGTTCTGACTGTCCATGAGCATATGGCTTTTCTGATATCCTGATTGTTACTTTTGTAATCACAGGTGTGCATTTTTTTATTTATTTTTTTAAAATTATGTACAACATACTAAATTCTTGCACTAGCACAATGTTTGGACATGAAGTCAACTTTCATGGTTTTTTTTTGTTAGTCAGAAGCAAATCCGCACATCCATAGAAAACTATTAAAGTGTGCTTGGGTACACTTAGTATACCCTATGTGCACACCTATGTCTGTAATGACACAGCAGGATTTATTGTGAAACCATAAGCATGGCCTTTAATAAATAATCTTCCTCATCGTCATATTTTATTTTCTGTTTTATCTGTAGGACAGCTAGGAAGACAGGGATGGAGTGTTTATTCATCAGTATAAGGTTCACTTTCAACCTCTCACACAAGGAGAGTATTTATATATATTCATTCATAGATTCTGTATCTTTCTCTCTGGGAACTTTACCTAAGCTTCTCTTCAGATGTTTTAAAAAGTCTGCTTGTTTCAATGTCTTGAGCATCTCTTATCTGGGACAGGTATTTGGCTATCAGTTTGGTGTTCTGACTGCTACCTTTAATTTCCAAGTCAAACATTTTGTGCCTGCTTCCCACAATCATATTGAAAAGCACTCCCTACTTGTAGCCCAACTAATTATAGTCCACCAATTCTGTTCTAATTCTTTGTGTTCTTTGATGGTAAATCAGGGGATTTACTTTTACTGTGCCTTATTTAGACAGATGTAGTGATGATTTCAAGCAAAACAATGGATGCAACAAGCCACCTGGTCTGCCAGATGTTCTGGGCATTTAGCTTGGGTTATTACATTGTGTTTTAATGCGCACACAGACTGTGCCACACCAGAGTGTTGTTGTTATAGGCCAGTGTCCATAGCCGTGCTTGACTGGGAGAAGCTGGAGGACACTCACTGCAATCAGGGAGGAGACGATTACTTTGGAACATAAACTGATCTGCCACAACATTAAAACTACAGGCCTAATATTGCGTAGGTCCCCCTTGTGCTGCCAAAACAGCTGTATTGTGTTGAGGAATGAACTCTCCAAGACCTCTGAGCATGTCCTGTGATATTTAGCCCCATGATATTACCAGTAAGGCAGGTAAGTCCTGTTGCAAGGTTCCTGTTCCAACAAAACTATAGATGTTCAATCGGATTGAGATCTGAAAAAGATCTGAAAAATATGAAGGTCAAGGCAACACCTTGAACTCTTTGTCATGCTCCTCAAACCATTCCTGAACAATTTTTGCAGTGTAGCAAGGTGCATTATCCTGGTGAAAGAAGCCACTGCCAGCAGGAAACACTATTGACATGAAGGGGTGTATGTGGTCTGCAGCAATCTCTAGGTAGGTGGTAAGTGTCAAAGTAACATCCACATAAATGCCAGGACCTTAGGTTTCCAAGCAGAAACATTGCCCAAAGCATAACAATGTCTCCGCTGGCCTGCCTTCTTCTCATAGTGCATCCCGATTCCATCTCTTCCCTTCTTTGGCAAATGATGAACACAAACCCAGCCATCCAACTGATCTAAAAAAAAACCAGACCAGGCAACCTTCCTCCATTGCTACATGGTCTAGTTCTAATGTTCTAATTCCCATTTAAAGGGATTTCCGCAGTGGGCAGTGGAGTCATTGTGGGCACTCTGACCAGTGCGCGGCTTCGCAGCCCCATATACAGCAAACTGCAATGTACTGTGTGCTCTGGCACCGCTCTATAATGGCAAGACTTATGTCAAGTCTTTTTCAAGCAATAGCTATTCAGTGTGATCGATCCAGATCTTGCTAGCTTTTACTCCCCATGCGAATCAATGAGCTTTAGGAGTCTATAACCCTGGCACAGTTTCACCGGTCCTTCTTTCTTGCACCACTTTAGATACCAGGAACACCTCACAAAACTTGCCATTTTGGAGATGCTCTGACCCAGTCATCTAGCCATCACTATTTGGCCCTTGTCAAAGTCACTCAGATCTTTTCGCTTGCCCATTTTTCCTGCTTCCAACACTTGAAATTCAAGAACTGACTGTTCACTTTCTGCCCGATATATCCCACCCCTTAACAGTTGCCATTGCAATGATATAATCAATGTTATTCACTTCACCTGTCAGTGTTTTTAGTGTTGCGGCTGTTCGGTGTATCTCCTTTGTGTGGCCATATAGGTGATTCTACCCAAACTGCTGCATGTACTTGACTCTGGATTGGACCAGAGTCTTCCACCTCTGTCACTGACAGAAGTGATCTGTCAGTGACAGAGGTGGAAGTGATTGGGAAGTGATCCCTGTTGGCTCTCGACCCAGACGGGCTTAGTGTGTGAGGCATATGAGCTTGGGAAGAAGTTGCATCTGAAGGGGGCTCACATGACTTGCCACCTGCACTCCTCTGTCCACTCTCCCGGCCCCTACTTTGCGGCACTTGCCTCCAGCTGCACCCAGAAACTCGCAAAGACTTTGTCCAGATGCATCAGCATTTGCTCCAGTGTGGCACACCCATCAGGCACTGCTAGCTGCTGCCAAGGGTCAGAGAGAGAAGGTGCATCCACCATTTTGAGGGTGAGGGCTATGGCTTGAGCCTGTGCTGTATCAGCTGTCTGTGGTCAGTAAAGTGAGTGGAGCTGAGCGGTGGGAACCCGGATAACCCCCACCGGTACAGGGGAGTCCCAGCTTCAGTTTATGAACCAGGAGAGCGGCCGCCTCTCTGTAACTACAGCCATTGGACTTGCTAAGAAGTGGTTCAGCCACATGTATGCTGCTTAAATGCTCATGCATAATAGCAGAAACCATGCCCTGGTAAACCTTGGTAGGTGGTTTGCTAAAATACAAGCAGAAGGATGTACAGAACAGCAATCACTAGCAGGGGAAGGAAGCGAGGGTAGCTTCACTCTGCAACTCTCTTCATGCTCATCCAGTAAAGTATGATCATGGGAAGAACTTTAATTTATTTAGATGTGTGCCAGTGGTCTTTAGCATTCAAAATAGAACTGCTATCAAGGCTCATTGCTTATTTAGCGTTGGAGGATCCTGATAGCTGCTTGAATATATATATATATATTCATGTACACACACAGTTTCTGATCCTAGTCAATTCCTGGGCAAGCTATAAGAGAGCTGTGATAGTGG